CAGCGGCCCGACCGGGCGAGCATGGGCGGCGCGGAGTGACGCCGCCGTGCCCGCTTGGCATCAAGGACATTCAGCCCGCGGGGGTGGGGACGAAGGGGGGCAGCCCCGCGTCGCCACCGCAGCCCCTGAGAGCCACCGCCCCTGCTCGGGTTCCGGGGCTGGGTGGAGGAAAGGGGTGCTTGGAATTGATCCACATTTTCCGACCTTTTTGTTGGACATTACGCCCACCTTGGACGCCGCAAGAGGAGCTGTCAAGCCCCGCAGGCTCCGATTCGACCCCCTCCGTTTTCCTTGGCTGCTCCCGGCTTTCCTGTGCCTCGGTGGAGTATTTGCGTTCGGGGCTGGGGCTGGAGGAGGCAGCCACACGCGCGCACACGCACACGTTCAGAGGAGGGCGAGAGGCAGCGGCACAGGCACCATCTGCAGTGTCAATGCGGCGCTCCCGCTGAAGGAGGGAAACGCGGCGCTCCCAGGTAAGGACCGGCAGCCCGGGCGTGGGGCCCCGCAGGCGCCGAGGGCAGCGCGGGCAGAGAGACCCGGCCCGCCTGGGAGTCCTCGGCTGCCCCGGAGCAAGCCCGCTGCACACACACAAATGCACACGGGCACACACCGCGCGCACGCACCTGCCCACGTCCCACCTGGACACCCGCGAAGGTGCAGCGCGGCCGGAGCAGGGATTTCCCGTGTTCCTCCTCCTCTCGCGCTCCCGGACTCCGACTTCTCTTCCCCGGGACTTTCAGGGTGGGAGTCTGTGAATTACCGGCTCTCCCTCTCACCCAGGGAGGCGGAGGGAGAGATTTTTCAGTTCCCAGCCCCTTTCATCCTTAGCTGGTTTTTAAAACCGGAGAAGTCACGGGAGGTCTCGGGAGACCCGCCCAGCATAATCACTGCTCCGTGGCCTTCGGAATCCCGGGGATTTGAATGGAGACAGGCCGGCAGATATTCGGACAGGTATTTGGCGAGCGTGGTGGCCGGCGCGCGGGGAGGAGGCCACGGAGGCGGCCGGGCTGCAGTTCCGTAGGGCGGTGCATGTGGAACAGACACTCCGTTTCCCCAGTAAGAGGCAGCACCAACGCCTTTCTGAAGCGTGGCACTGCTTCCCCGGGAATGCGCCGGGATTTCGGGCAGAAAGGGACTTGCGCACCGCCGCGTGTGTTGCTTGTCTAGGGAGACGATGGGGGTCAGATCTCCGTAAAGGTGTGACCTTCCTCGCATCCCGGCTGTCTGGGAAACCGCATGCCGCTGGCAGACTCAGGACTGGGTCTCACTCTCACCTTCTTACCCTTCCCTCAGCAACCAGGGCTGCTTTCCCCCGTGCCTCCGGCGAACACCTGTCACATGCTTTTGGAGGTGTGTGTCTGAGAAAAATAACTAGAAGCGGGAAGCCAGAGGGGTGTAGCCCTCCAAGGGAGGAGGGTTCCCTCTCACGACCACATCGGCAGAGGAGATTCGTTCCTGGGTTTGCCAGCGTCCCCGGAGCCGGCTGTTCCTGCTGTAGACTCGCTCCCCACGTTCTCCCTGGTTCCGGGTTCTATTTCCCTGAAGCCCTCCCTTTCCTTCTCTCCCAGGCTGCAGTTTCAGGGGCTGCTCATTTTCAAACTTTTTTTGGGGAGTTGGTTTGGGGTTCTGAAAGGGCTTTCTCCTAGTTCTCTTCTTGGGTCCTAAAAGCAGCTCACAGGAGGCTCAGCTGTTGTAGGAAGACAAATGTAGGATTCAGATAAAACATTATTTTGGAGTTGAAGGTACACATAGCTAGCTCCCACGTTTCTATAGCAGTCCCTTTTAGGTAGCATTTATGGCAACCTGACTGAGACCAAAAAATAATAATAATAATGGAAGAATGAGCTGTACCCTCTATATAAGATCATGTGTTCAGAGTGTCCCAGAGTCCACCAGTGGGAAAAACATGTTGGGAGTCTTCCAGAACACGAGAGGAAAGAAACACACATTCTTTTGAACAAGGAGACCTCAGTGCTGGGCACAGAGTTTGGACTGGTTTTGTAAATCCTGAAGATGGGTGCTGAAATAAAGAGCTTTTCCCGCACCCCCCACCTCTGCTATTTTCAAACTTTTTTTCAGCTCTGGCAAAGGTCTCAGGCTAGGCTGGGGAGAAGAGCAGGCGCCCTGGGAGGAGATTATATTCCCCGCTGTGTGCTGTGTGAGCTGCCCTTTGATTGATTGAAAAGGGTAGATGGGATAAAGCAGAGCTCTCACAATGGGGAGAACCCAGTAGGGGGAAGAAACATTATTTTCCTTTTAAGAATGGTGGGCGTGTGTACACACACACCCAGACAGACACACACGCATTCTCAGAGTCTACTAAACACGGTCAACTCGTCCAGCTGTGTGTGACAATGGGGTTGTCCTCTGACTTCAGGCTGTGGAAAAGCGGGAACATCTCCACACCTCAGAGTGTGTGGACAGGGAGGTCCCATGCATGCGGACGGCAGCACATGGTTGCCACAGAGATAGGAGCTGCAGGATCAGTGAGTGCTCCCCAGGTAAACGTCCCCACACAGGACCTTGAGGAGCACACAGTTGGGGTACAGACTCCCTGAAATGTCTGGGCGCCTTCTCAGCAGACCTCCACTCCCTTCTCTGCAGCCCCATACCTTCATTCCTCTCTTGAGTATTTTCAGCCTCGGGATCCATCATTCTTGTGCATGGCCACCAGTCGTTATTCTGATTATGAGCTAAACATCTGGATTCAAAAACATCCCTGCACTTTCTGCACTTAGCATTAGGTACCGATTTGGTTTCTAGGACAAGACAGGCATTAATTAGCATCTGCGTAAAGCTGGGTGCACATCATCTAATTCTCTCGGGGCTCTCTTGCTGAGCCCCGGAGCATGCTGTGCTGTCATTCTCTCTCTCACCACTCCTTCCGTGGCCTTCCTTCTTTCCCAGACTCTGGGGTCTTCCTACTAGAAAAACTGGGGCCATGAGCCCTGCTTTGGAGCAGACCCTCCCTGCTTGCTAGACTTGGCTCTAGGGGGCTCTCCTGTAACCACTAGGCGTGGGCTGTCTGGAGATTTTCCTTCTTGCCTGAGTCCAGACTTGGGGGCTCCCCTGTCCTCCCAGGACTTTAGCCTGGATGCTCACCGATGCTTGGCACCCATTTCTGAGAACTCAGAGGTAGCCAACTTGGTTCTTTTCTCCTTCTCTGTGTCTCTCTGATGCCAGGTACTGCTGCTCCCTGCAGACGGGGAGATCTGCATGATGGCATCTGCTTACAAACGGACTCCGGATCTTTTTAATCACAGGGAGGGCTGCTGGGAATGACGTGGGGGCTTTCTGGGGCAGCAGCAGTCTGAAATGGGGAGCCCGCCAAGGGGGCTGGGGCATCACAGTGCTGGGCTCCTAGTTATCGCCAGGCTTTGATGCAAGGAAATCGCAGCGAATCCCTTTCCTCCAAGCCAGCTAGGGGGCATTTCTTAGCTGCTTCTCCTGATCCTCAGCCAGAGGAGGCTCTCCACAGACAATGCACGGCGGAGACCTGTTGGAGTGGCTCTGTGATGGGGCATGATGGGGCGGCCGCGGTACAGAAAACCCCACCATGACCGTGACCGTGATTAGTCTGCGCGACAGATGTGCCAGCCTGGCCTCTCTTATTGTGTCCGGGGCTTTCGATGTGAAACTGGTTCTGGTTCTGGGTAGTTGAAGCGGGCTCCCTTCCCTCCCTGACACCCCCCGCCCCCATCTTCCTCTAACCTCCCTTCCCTTCCTTTCTGCCACCCCCACCCCGTTGCTAATTCACCTCTTGGCTTTGTGAGCACATCCGCCAGCCCATTTGCCCTCACATTCGTGGCACTCCAAGAAATCAATATAACATGAATTTAACGACAGCTGGATGATTAAGTGTTATTTATATTTAAGAGCGGCATTTAAAAAAGACGTTGCACTAATAAATCAAAGGGCTGTTTGGGGGGGTGCACACGATTAGGGTAATTGCCCTGTAGGCTCTGGTGAGCATTGCAAGGTCCACACGCAGAGCCCTGAAGACGACTCTGTCTCTTTAAAAGCTGTAAGCTCCACCTTCCCTCCTCTCAACTCCCACCTGCTCCCCTTTCTCTGTCCGGACTTACTCTGCCTTCTCCTGCTGCCCAGGCTGTAGCTTTCTAGTTGTGGCAGGAAGGTGGAGCTAGCAGGAAGACTGAAGGGGGGTTCTGAGCAAAGTGGTGAGAACCAGAACTGAATCTGAAAAGGTAAGGCAGGCAAGGGTCCTAATTCCCAGAGCCCAGGCCTGTTCCAGAAGGAGGAGGCTGCTTCTCTGCTCCTAGGAGGCTGGAAGAAAAGCTTCCTGAGTTCACATGTGAGGCCCAGATCCCTGTCCTACAGTCCTGTGGCATCAGCCTCTCAAGGAAAGAAGCTTTAAGGGTGTTAGTATTGGTTTTAGGCCTTGCAAAGACAATGGAATGGAAAGCAATCATCAGTGATGACGGTGGTGGCCAGTATTTACTGAGCTGCTTCTTCGCTTGGGTTAGGGACTGTTAAGTAGTTTGCCCAGCATGGCCCACTTCTCATAACAATCACTATTACCATTCTTATTTCCTCCATGAGGAAACTGATGCCAGAGATGCTGGCCTGCACCTGCCAGAGGTCCAAGCCTTGTCCAAGATCACCCAGTGCTAAGTGGGGCAGCCCAGGCCCAACCTGACCAAGCTGCCCTGGCCTCCCTAGAACATATGTGCTCAGCATGTTGTCACTCCCCTGGAGCTTCGTGGGTGGGTGAGCAAGGCAGACGTTGACCCCGGCACATGAATTTACTCTTTGAGCCTCGGTTTCCCCATTTATCAAAGGAGGATAAGTCTTACCCTCGGCTGCTGGTGGATTGTGAAATAGCATGGATGATCTTAGCAGAGTGCTCAGTGCCTAGGGGTGCCCATGCCTGTTCTATCTCATGTGGCAACTCCTATTCTCTCCTGGGAGAAACCAAGGAGGAGAGAATGAGGAATTAAGTCCCCCTCTCTGCTTTTGACTTCGGGAGGCTCTGGGAGGAGTCTGGTTTTTTCTCCTTAGTGACTACTTCAAATTGCTGGTATTGTGGCAACATTTTCTCATTTCATCCTGAAAATAACCCTGTAAGGTAGGATCGTTTATTTCCATTTGGAACTAAGGCTGAGAAGAGTTTAAGTGAGACGCCCAGGGCCCCAGGTTGCTAGGCGATGGATGGTCTTTTTACTCTTGGCCAAGGGTTTTTACTCTGCCACTGCTCATAGCGGGTGCTTGACACTTGTTCCTTCATTCGTTAGCCCTAGTGTTCCAGGTTTGGGGGTCCAGAGGCAGGAAGGAAATCTTTGTTTATAGATATCATATTCTGAAGGGTGTCTGGGTCCCTGGGGAGCTGGACAGAGACTCACTGAAAGTTGGTGCCACTGGATTGTGGCATGGGGCGTAGGAGATGAGTAGACATCCTGAAGCACTTCGTAGAATTTTGATGCTTTCTCATTCATATGGAGAAAATATTTCCTAC